AGCACCATGACGAGTTTGTCATTCGGTGGACGCCTACCGTAGATGACCTGGGAGATCATTACGCAATCTGCTTCGCTGTTGAAGCAGTGACAGGGTGAGCAGAGGGTTCATTTCTTTTACCACAGAATTAGTATGTGTGTCAGTGTAAAACCATGATTTAACTTTTTACATATTTTGCAGGGCTGCTATGACCGGCTTTCAACCCATACACCATTCCCATTACCACCCCACCCCAACCTCACAGTGAGTAACATTCCTCTGTGTTTGGTGTTTTTTAGGAACAAATGAGGAACCTATGAAACTGACAAGACTTTATAATAAAAATGTAAATTCATGATGTGAGTTTAAATGTAATTAGAAGACAAAGAATAGTATTGACTTTATCTATGACAAATCAGAAGTGTATAAGTTATTTTATTTATTTTATACTTATTACTCTTTTAAAAAGTAATAATATTACTTAAATGATTACCTAGTATACTTACGTTACTTGCACTATTACTATCACACTTAGAGAGGAGTGTGTATATGTAAATATCTAATTTATTTATATCTAAATTTAACTTTAAGTAATGTTTTTCTGCATATTCATTTATAAGAGCAGCAACGAGCAGGCTATTTTATTATTTTTACTTAACATTAAAAGTTGCTTAACACCACAGGCTAAAAAATAAACATTCTGGGAACACAGTAATGTGACTTAGTTACTTTGATTAATAACTGTAATGTAACATTGCAAATCGTTATTACTCTCATCAGTTAAAGTATTAAAGTGCTCACTGATGCTTTCCAGGTCTGGCATCTATCAGTCTGAGATGAGGTGTGTTGTAGTGGACATTGGGAAGAAACAAGGTGAGTGCTACTTCACTGTCAACATTTTGTGTAAACCTTGTTACAAAACAAAAGCCTGGATCATCCATTGTAAGCAAAAGTCTTCCATCACACAGAAATACCAGCAAGATTCTTTATTCATATTAACTGAAACCTATCCACTTAGAGCTGAAGCACAATTTGAATAATATATTTCTTTATAGTTTCCTTGAAAGAAACAGTCATGTTCAGTGGTGAAATCTAACTCCACTACATCTCAGAGGCAAATGTTGTACTTTTTACTTTCATTTGATCTGACCTTTCCTTTCTTCTTCTTCTTCTTCCCTTTCTTGGCTGGCACACTGCTGCTTTTCTTGGCATCCATGAGTGTGGGTGTGCATAAGATAAACAAAACTCAGTCTTAGAAAAACAGCTCCCTGGAGCTACTAGAGGTCTAAAACTCCACAGGGAACCTTTAAAGCTGACTTTAGCCATTTTGACCACTAGAGGGCAGAGAAATGCCACACAGGGCTAATACACTATCATATTTACACACTTACTGATCAGGTTGATAAATGAGGGTGAAAGGAAGTACTGCAAGCCAAGAAGCATGACTAGGAAATTACATTTAACATTTAAACATTTAAATTCAATTCAATTCAGTTTTATTTGTATAGCGCCAATTCATAACAGAAGTTATCTTAGGACACTTTTCAAATAGAGCAGGTCTAGACCGAACTCTTTATAACATTATTTACAGAGACCCAACAGTTCCACCATGAGCAAGACCTTGGTGACAGGGGCAAGGAAAAACTGCCTTTTTAAGAGGCAGAAACCTAGGACAGATCCTTCGGCTCTAGGTGGGTGGTCGTCTGCCTCGACCAGTCGGGGTGAAAGAGAGAGAGAGACAGAGAGAGAGAGAGAGAGAGAGAGACAGAGAGAGACAGACAGACAGACAGACAGATGTGCACAGCAACAACTGTAGCAACAACTACACTAATAGCAGTGACTGATGATGAACATGAAGAAGTTGATGGCGACGACAACAAAGATGGGGGACAACAAGCAGTAACCACAGTAACTGTAGCAACAATAATAGTGATAATAATAATAATAACAATAATATCAGTGATATTAGCAATGGCAGTCAAGCAGGACCATGGCAGGAGGCTCCACCAGGATCGATAAGAACCTGCGCGACGATAAAGCACAAGAACTCCGGGGAAGAAGTGAAGTTAGTAACATGCATTAATGGGACATGAATGAGTGCAGAAAGAGAGAGGAAGGGAGGAGCTCAGTGCACCATGGGAAATCCCCCGATAGTCTAGGCCTATAGCAGCATAACTAAGGGATGGTTCAGGACTTACCTGATCCAGCCCTAACTATAAGCTTTATCAAAGAGGAACGTCTTAAGCCTACTCTTGAATGTGGAGAGGGTGTCTGCCTCCCGAACCACAACTGGAAGCTGGTTCCACAGGAGAGGAGCTTGGTAACTGAAGGCTCTGGCTCCTGTTCTACTTTTAGAGACTATAGGAACCACAAGTAGCCCAGCATTCAGAGAACGTAGTGTTCTAGAGGGGTAATAGGGTACTATGAGCTCTTTAAGATATGAAGGGGCCTGACCATGAAGAGCTTTATAGGTGAGGAGGAGGATTTTAAAATCTATTCTACATTTTACAGGGAGCCAGTGCAGAGAAGCTAGTACAGGAGAGATGTGATCTCTTTTTCTAGTTCCTGTCAGTACTCGTGCTGCAGCGTTCTGAATCAATTGGAGCGTCTTAATGGACTTATTGGCGCAACCTGATAATAAGAAATTGCAGTAATCCAGCCTTGAAGTAACAAATGCATGGATTAGTTTTTCAGCATCCGTCTGTAACAGGATGGGTCTAATTTTTGTAATATTACGTAAATGAAAGAAGGCAGTCCTAGAGGTCTGCTTTATGTGGGAGTTAAATGACAAGTCCTGATCAAAGATAACTCCAAGATTCCTGACAGTGGTGCTAGAGGCCAAGGTAATGCCATCTACAGTAACTATATCTTTAGACAGTGAGTCTCTAAGGTTTTTGGGGCCAAGTTTAAGAATTTCTTTTTTTTCTGAGTTTAACATCAGAAAATTGCAGCTCATCCAGGTTTTTATGTCCTTAAGACATGTTTGTAATTTAGATAATTGGTTAATTTCATCGGGCTTGATCGATGGATATAACTGTGTATCATCTGCATAACAATGAAAGTTAATGGAGTGTTTCCTAATAATGTTGCCTAGAAAAGCATTTATAAAGTGAATAGTATTAAGTAATATATCCATATCACAAATATTGCTTAATGCAGGTTTTATTACACAATATCTTTTAAATATGATTTATGATATAAAAATATGCAGTTTTCAGGATAAATGTGTATAAATGGTTTAAATGTATATATATATATGTCTTGCTCTAGTTGAAGCCAATGTGATTTGCACGGAGTCTACAATGAGGGTCGAGGTTGAGAAAGCTTCATTTGCTGGACTCCACGAGGATCATTTGCGGCTCAGTGACTCCACCAACACCGACTGCAGCCTCCAGAGATACTCCAACAGCACTCACATCATCGCTGTGATCCCGCTCAACGCTTGTGGCACTCAGATCGAGGTACCGCAGGGTCACTTGCTCCCCGTTCTCAGACACTGGTGTTGCTTTTTCTTTTCATTAGCACTGAATTAGACCTTAATATGTGACATTTTATTCTGCAGGAAGATGAAGACAACCTAAGGTTCAAGAATGAAATCACCACAGTCGACAACAGCGCTGACCTGATCACCAGGAACCACCTGCTGGAAGTGCAGTTCTACTGCCAGTACCCCAAACGGGGGAATGTGACACTGGTGTTCACAGCACACAGGAATAACGTCACAGTCTGGGAGAAAGGCTTCGGCACATTCACATACCAGTTTGAGTTTTATCCCAACGGCCAATTCGAAACCATGATTGATCCGGATTCATACCCTCTGGAGTATGACATAGGGGACAGAATTTACATGCAGATAGAGGCCACCTCCTCCTCAGTCAACAACACCGAGCTGTTTGTGGAGTCCTGCACAGCTGCACCTTATGACAACCCCAACTACTGGCCAACCTACCCCATCATTGAGAATGGGTAGGCTTGAGTGCACCCCCTAGTGGCAACAGAGGACATAACAAATTATTTGTAAAGATTTGGTTTTTGCTTTTATATGAGAGGGTTGTAACTAAATTGTCTGAAGGTGTGAATGAGTTTGAATAGTTGTCTATCACCTTTGATACACCTTCAGTAGGATCATCAGCACCTTTAATGGAATCCATTGCAAGGTATCGAGTTACTTATGTTTTCTTTCTTTTTGTTTGTGCTCTGAATAGGTGTAAAGTGGACTCAACTGTTAAAATCCATTCCTCCGATCACAAGGGCCAATTCAGGTTCTGTGTGGAGGCCTTCAAGTTCATCGGCTTGCATGACCAGGTGAGGAACAAACAAATACAACTACATTTAAACTTTTATTTTAAAAAAACCCCATGAATTTCTTTTCATTTGTATTTACTTGTAAACCGAAGACACTAGCAGGTTTAATCTTCTATGTGGGATCTGTCTATAACTCCGTTTGTCTGCTGATGTAATGACGGCGTGTCCTGTTGCATTCAGGTGTACATCAGCTGTTCAGTCATGATGTGTGTAGCAGGGGACTCCGGCACCAGGTGCTCGCAGGGCTGCATCAACTCCACATGGTCAGGTGGTCACCATCACCGCCGAAAGAGAGAGGTTGTCAGCCAGACTGCAAGGCACCTGGTTTCCCAGGGTCCTCTCCGCCTGAAGAGATCAGCAGAGCTCACCGAAAGCCCAAGTATGAAAACAGGAAGTGTTTTTCTTAACAGCCAGCTGACTTGTTTGAGACTGAATTCTAATTACGCTTCTTTTTTTCTCCAGTGAACCTGAACCTGAATGTGAACCTGGTGTTCATCGCTGGATGTCTTCTTGCAGCTGTTGGTATGATCAGTGCAGTGGTCGTGTACAAAGCCAAAGTGTCAGGGGTCAAATACCAACCTCTGCCCGTATTCGAAAGTTAAGACAGCAGCATGAGCAAAATACCAATCCAGAATTATTGATTGATTGATTGATTGATTGATTACTTTTACTATCAGATATTGGGTGTTCATGTATCTAACTATCAGGGTTCAGAGGTTTACTTTAAAAATGTAATCCAGTACAGTTACTTTTATTGCCTGTTAATCCACAACCTAATCCAAGTATCACAATATTAAAGTAATGTAACTTTTCTGTTACTCAGTGCCAAATATGCAGATAAAGACAATTCTGTAAGACAACAGAACAATGTAACCTTAGAAAAGAAAATGGAAACCAAGATTTTTAGCATCAAAACGTCTTCTTTACTGTGAAGCTGTTCGACTTTTCTGCTTTAAAGACAAAATACTGCATTGTACATGTGCATGGTAGTAAATCGTTCCTTATTAGGGCCCGAACAGGAACTAGTTATTATTATTATTATTTTATTCCCCAATTAATTGCATTTTTAGCTGCCCCAACCAGCTCTAAACTCATAAAATGTGCCACAAAATTGGGTGAAAATGTACGTATTCTAAGGGTCTTGCATATGGGCGTAGCAAAATGGCTCGACAGCGCCCCCTAAAGGCACATTTTACTGATATTTTGAAATTGTAATCCTGTTTACAATCCTCCATTTTAACTGAATGTAACTTTTTTTCTCTATCTGTATCCTGATTACTTAACTCTACGAATGATGTGCTCATTTAAATGAGTGAATTTTATATCAAGCATAATCTTTGCTCTGTCAAATACCACCTTTACATGTCAAAAGCATACAGCTAGACCAAATTCTATTATGTTTACTTTTTTAATGGATCAATAAAAACATGCAGAAATCATATTTTTGTCCTCTTCCTTTCTCTTTCTCTCTCACTCACACACACACACTTTATATTGTCCAACATGTCCGATTAAGGGGTTTCTTTACATTTATGTATCTTCTCGTGTGTTCTCCCCTTCTTTATTCAGCCTTGAGCCAGGTTGTGACACTTTATAATAGAAAAAATCAATGAAATGTTATTATATTAACAATTCATATTAATAAAGAGACCACACGCTTTGTAGTTTCCGAGCAGCCCCTGAACGCAGCACTGGGGCGCAGTTGGCCAGGTTTGGGTGGGATATGGTGCAAAGTTTTGTTTTGATCTGGTAGTTTAAGTGCCATAATCACCGATATCGAAGAGATATGGATGATAGATGACGGGTTTTTTATTATTAAAAGCAGCTAATGTACTTTTAGAGCAAAACTGATGTTTGATCAGGTGAACATCTGAATTTATTGATTACAGCAGACAAATAATTGACATTTTATTGGCTTAATCACATGCTTGTGTGAACACAGTAATAATAACTGTTCATTGTGTCAACTGTCTGAGCTGCGGAGATGCGGATGAGACACCCAGGATGTGATCCAACGTGATGGATCCACTTTGTATCGATCCTGTTGAGGTTGGTATCGATGTTCAGAAGAAGATTGGTATCAGTATCTCTGGGGTTCAATCCACCTACCCTGCCCTTTACCGCCGGACTGACACGTAGTTATATAACGGTCCAACAGTCTGGCAGCTCAGGGACGAGAAGGGAGTCGGTTTGAGGGGAAAATGTCTTTTCTCGCAGTGTTTGTCCTTTTGGGGACAGGACTGACGGTCCACGGCAGTAAGTTAGAGTTTTCTGAGTTGATGAGAGCCAGCTTACACTAGATGAAGTTGTGACGTCTTTAAAATTAGGATTTCTGTCAGTTACTTTAATATAAATTCAATAATTTGTATTTCTAATAAATTACAAATTCTGTTTCAGGGGTGGAATATGTACCCAATTAAGTATATTTACTCAAATACTGTACTTAGACTAAGTATAAAATCAATGTAAATCTATTTCTAGTTTACTTTTCTCGAGTATTTTAGTTTTATAAAACTTTATACTTCGACTCCACTATATCTCAGACACAAATATTGTACTTTTTACTCCAATAAATATGTCTGACAACTTAAGTTATTGTTCAGATTACAATGTTTTCATATTCTTCCTGTCCAATATTTTCTCTGAAGGATGAATATTTGTGTGTTGTGGAAAATGTCTCCCACTATTGAAAACCCGTCTGGGATTATGTGGAAAATGAATGTGCACAAAGCTGAAAACTGTTTTCCTGACTTTTTAAAGATGGTCGTCACAGCACAGCCATACTACAAACATATGATGATCTTACAGAATAGGATGCATTGCTGTATTTAATACCCAGCAGTATTATAAAGTAGTTCAAATGAGCTCGACCATAAACATCTACAGCAGTAAAATGCAACCTAGACATGAATAAAAAACATCAGATATAATATTAAAACCCTGACAGTGAGCATTTTACTGCAGAACTTTTAATATTTTTTAAGTAAATGTTGCTGATAATAAATAGCCTACTTTTAATTAGTACGAATGCAAGAATTCACCAGTAGTGGAGTATTTTTTATTATTATGGTACTTTGAGTTAAAGAACCAATGTGCAGGATTTAGTGGCATCTAACAGTGCGGTTACAGGTTGCAACCAACAGTATGGACAGAGCCTCAGAGGTCTCTGAAGTGGGAGGAACAGGACTACAGAGTGAGTGAACCTGTGAGTCAGAGGGAGTGTTCATTGGCCAACACACACACACACACACACACACACACACACACACACACACACACACACACACACACACACACACACAGATGTTTAGTTGTGAAAGCTCCAGATGGCGCCCTTATCCCGAGTTGTGCAGTCACTATAGTTTCTTTGTCACAGAAAGGAAAAAAGGCTGAGCTGTATTCAGTTGGTTGCAATCTACAGCCAGATGCCACTTAAGCTTTTATCACAGGTTTTATCACAGAATAAGTTTTCAGCTTAATGTATATAAATGGTTTACAGATATTCTGTATATCTTTGCTCCAGTTAAATCCAATGTGGTCTGCACGGACTCTACAATGAAAATAGAGGTTGAGAAAGCTCCATCAGTCCATGAGGATCATCTGAAGCTCAATGACCCCGCAGGTGGCGCCTGCAGCCTGAAGAAACTCTCCACCAGAACTCACATCATCGCTGTTTTCCCCCTCACTGCTTGTGGCACTCAGATGGAGGTACCGCAGGGTGTCTGCACCCACTGTGCTCTTCTCTCACTTACTGCTGTTGCTTTGCCCTTTAATCAGACTGAATGTGTGACCTTTTACTCTGCAGGAAGATGACAACAACCTCTTTTTCAAGAATGAACTCACCATGGTCGACGATCTCGCTAATGTCATCACAAGGAGGAACCTGGTGGAAGTTCGGTTCTACTGCCAGTACCCCAAACGGGGGAATGTGACACTGGGCTTCACAGCAAACAGGAAGAATATCACCGTCTGGGAGAAAGGCTTCGGCACATTCACATATCAGTTTTTCTTCTATCCTGACGACAAATTCAAAACCTCAATTCCTGTGGGTGATGACCCTCAAGTGTATAACATGGGGGACAGGATTTACATGCAGATAGAAGCCACCTCTACAGTCCGCAACACCGAGCTGTTTGTGGAGACCTGCATAGCTGCTCCTTATAACAACCCAAACACCAGACCATCATACACCATCATTGAAAATGGGTAGGCATGATATTAGTTAAGGTTCGTTGTTGGCTTGCATACGACAGATTGAATGTCTGTCTGTCAGTGCATGCTGGGATGTCTCCATCAGTGGAACCATTTGTAGACAGTTGATGGATAGATGGGAATTAATCGTGTTAACGTTACATTACATCCAGTTACAGACGCAACATCTCTTATGTGTTTTTTGTTTTTTTGCACTGACTAGGTGTGAAATTGACATGACTCTTACAATCCATTCCTCCCCCCACGAGAGAAAGTTCAGATTCAGCATGGACTCCTTCAAGTTCATCGGCTTGTATGACCAGGTGTGAATGGATTCTGCGATTAGACTGGAGCAACGCACTGTAAATGTCTCTGTGATCATCTCTGAATGGTTCTAATGAAGCTATGTGCTAGATGGAACTCGCTAGCTATAATACTGTTTGTCCACTAGAAGAGAAAATGATACGTGTTCTGATATAACGACAGCGTGTCCTGTTGCGTTCAGGTGTACATCATCTGTGAAGTCATGATGTGTAAACTGGGGAACCCCAACAGCAGGTGCTCGAAGGGATGCGTAGCCAGTTCACATCGCCACGGGAAGAGAGAGGCTGTCATCCAGAGCGCCCTGCACCGTGTGTCCCAGGGGCCCATCCGCTTGAAGAGATCAGCAGAGCTCACAGAAAGGCCAGGTATGTGTTCTTCACAGCGCACCCGCCTCGATGTACTCAGGTTGTAATTCTGCTTCTCTTTCCTCCAGTGAACCTGAACCTGAATCTGAACCTGGTGTTCATCGCTGGATGTCTTCTTGCCACTGTTGGTATGATCAGTGGAGCCGTCGTGTACAGAGCCAAAGTGTCAGGGGTCAAATACCACCCTCTGGCTGAATTTGACACTTAAGAGAGCAGCATGAGCAGAATACCAGTCTTATATTAATCACATTTTAATATACAAAGCTATTTTTTAAATTAATTTTGCTATCAAATATTGGTTCGTGTATCTAAATTACACATTTAAATGGATGAATCCTATATTAACATCTTCAGAAGAGTCTCCAGCTGCAAGGAAAAACTGTTCCTGTGCACAAAGGGAACCAGAGACCAGTTTTATATTAAACAACCCTGAAAAGATCAACTAGCACTGCGGCTGCTGGGTGTTCAGTTGTGGTCTTCCCTGTTGTGGGATCCCATGTAGCTTTGCAACTGCTTCTAATACTGTGTTTTACAGCATGGTTTATATGATCCCTCCTCTGGATGCCAGCACTGCATGTCAAAAGCTGTTTATGGTTAGACCACAGTCTAATATGATACACTTGGGTAATGGATCAATAAAACGTATAATTCTTAAATGTGTTTGCTTTTGTTCTCCTCCTCTCTTATACACACACACACACACACACACACACACACACACACGCACACACACACGCACACACACACACACACACACACACACACAGACTGTGTGTATGGAGTGCAGATGTCAGTTACACTGTTAGGCTGAATCAAGCAGTCAACAACAACAGAGGGTATTTGGCTTTTGTTTCCTCAGTTTATTATGCATTTGTGTTGTTTTAGGCAAGATTCATTTAATATTGTGTATATTAAAATATTGGGATGGTTAAATAGTAAATATATATGTTTTAAAGTTAGTGAGGGAGTGTTCATGTACGCTCCACTGTACAATGGGGCTGTTTGAATGCATATGCCCGGTGGGAAAACAGCGTTCACAGTCACCAAGTCCGCTTATTAGAAACAGCTTTATGCTTTTTTTTAATCTCAAGCCCCTGACAAATATTAGTAGTTGTTGGTTGCAGTTTTTTGGGCTTGTTTCTAAAGTGTAGTTGCTTATTTGACTTACTCCCTGTCTCCTTCTCTCTCTATATTCCCTCCACCGCTCCTCTTCCCCCATACACACAGCTGACAGTCAGTGAGACATTTCAAATCAAAGTGGGAAAAATACAGAAGAAAATACATTTGATGACTCAACAGAATCATAAAAGACTTGGACTTTAACATCAATGACCCATGACTTCACTCGTTTATGCTATTCATTCCCAACAAGTCGACAGTTAATTCCTCAGATCAACTCGATCTGAACCAGTCTGGCATCTTCGAATCAAGTTGCAGGAGATAAAAATAAGAAGAAAGAAAAATTACTTTACAGAGCGCCAGTTGGATAAAATTATACCAAAGATCTTTTTTTTTCATTCTCTCTGTTGTTAAAAAGGAATTACATCTCGAGAAGAGCACATTATGGATTGTTTAGGACTCAAAACTCAAGTTCATCTATCTATCTGCTTTGACAGATACACAAATATAAACGTTTAAAGTTTTGTCAATATGGACATGCAACACATCGTTAGATTATTAGGATTCTCCACAATTCAACCACTAAGTTCATTTTATAGATGATCAAATTATTGATTTGTTAATAGCCTAATTTTTACACAAGTTATATTTACACTGGTTTGAATAAACAGCTTCATAGTATCTCATATCTTTGCTGAACAAGAGTTTAATGTCAAAGGAATTAAGCGCCTGTTCCAGATAAAGGCAGGTTGAGTTCAGTGACTGAGGCAAATAAAAGGCTATTAATTGAAGTTTTACGGTCCATGCAGATCTAGTTCAACCAGCACTTAAAGACTTTAAATATGCAGGATCGTTCTCGTTAAAGCGGTTTACAGACAACAAGATATCTTTGTTTGTCCTTCATTGACATAATCAGCCTGTTTGTTACTCGTTTTCTGACGGGCAGTTGCTTCTGTTTCAACTTCTTTAGAAAAATGTAAAATTACAAGTTCAGTATTTTCGAAATGGTAAAATAAATTCATACATGTATGATTCAATCAAGTGTTGTTTTCCCACTCTGATGAACAGATTAACACACAGTGTCCGGAACAATCCCTGTGCAATAACATCCACTGTACCTGTAAATGATTTATTCTCATGGTTTAAATACGGTTGTTTTTTTTAAACATGTAAATAGCATTACTCATACACAAATCTACGTATACTGTATCCACCTACCTCATTTATATAAAGCAACCTGCTACATAAATCATCCTTTGAACTCTGCACCATTGTCTTACTGCCTACAAATGTTGCTGTTGTTGTTTTTATATATATATATATATATATATATATATATATATATATATATATGCATCTATATCTGCACATAGTACTTTAATGATTATGTTTATCTTGTTGAGCTTGCTTTATATTTTTTTCTGTGTGTACATTGAGAGCAATGTGAATCTGGAGTCAGATTTACAGTTTCCTGTAGCCAATAAAAGGGACTGGGATTTTATTTGCTATTGTTGTCTTTAATTTGGTCAACTCTTGTTTTTAAATGTCCTATTTCAATCAATTTGATTAGATTTTACATTCTGCATTATAAATACGTCGTGTTGCGTTGATCGGCCACAAGATGGCGCCACAATCGTCTTGTTGTGAGTATTAGAAGTTATTGTTCTATCAGCAATCTCATCTACCACAGCTGAATGTAGGTCACTCAGTGAAACGGTTCCAACATGTTTAATGCTAATAAATCAATATATTCAGTGTAATGAAGACATGTGGCCCATCACTCCCGACTCCTACATATATTATTTAGTGCCGTTTATAGAAGGAAATAATATGTTTTCCAGTTATTTCCTAGTTAATCCAAAGGGGGAAATGTACCTTTGTATAGTCACATTATATTGTATTTTCGTTTATTTTTTATTGGTTTTTATCAGAAACTTATTGTAGGAACATGTTGAACATGCTTAGCAGGTGTATACTACACCTTAGGTGCATTTATATGTATATATAGTATAGTATATATTCCTGTATAAATGACTATTGCATTTGCCTGTATAGAGGCAGTGGATGTTTATTAAATTAATAATAGTCAGAGCAAACCAAATGATCAGCAATGTAAATAAACCTATATAGAACATTGGAAGAAAGAAACCGAAAGCTAAAGTAGATCAGACTGTTCTCTGACAGTTCAAAGAGATTATAAATTGTCAGAATATCTCTATAGATAGAAAGCAGAGACAGATCCTAACCAAGAACAATATTTTATGGATATTTCATATTATATAAAAACTGTACAATGAACACAAACAGTGAACTCATGAAGTTTGTGTAAAACCAGAGATTGTACTGAATGAAAAAGGGGATTATTTCCTTTTTAGGGAACATTTTGTGGAGTTATCCGTCTGTATTATGTATTTTATTAAATAGTTTTTAACAATCATAAATACTTAATAGGTTTCTTTTATTTGACAAATTCAGAGTTCTCTTGTCCCTGGCACTTTACTATTGTTCTATTAGACAATTTAATTAAAAATTGACTTTACTTACATTTAAATTAAAAAATCTGTTTTTATTTCATTATTTTTCTACTTTATTATTATTATTATTATCTTACTAATCTGTATATACATATATTTTACATTTGCTTTGGCAGTGTAAACTGTTGAACTGAACTGAATTGATAAAATTGTGCATTCAGTTTGTAATTGTGTGGATTTATCTGAGTGAAGACTGTGTCCCCCTACAGCAGTGGTTGATTTTAAGGCGTGCTAGAAAACATTAAAAAATACACATGTACATTACGATGTGTTGTGTCAGTGTATTGTGATGAATAATGTGTGTATATTTGTATAGTATTGTCACCATAGAAACTGTGTGGACCCCAGGATATATTGTGAAGAGGCTAATGGGGATCTTATCAAACAAACAAACAAACTGTACAATGAACACAAACAGTGAACTCAGGACGTTTGTGTGAAACTAGTGATTGTGATGAATGAAAAAGGGGATTATTTACTGTTTACGGAACATTTTGTGGAATTATCTGTCTGTATTATATATTTAACAATCAGAAATACTTAATAGTCTTCTTTTATTTGACCAAATGTTGTCTTGTCCCTGGCACTTTACTATTGTTCTATTATATTTATGTATAAATTGTATATTTGGATAGTATTGCCAGCATATAAACGGTGTGGACCCCAGGATATATTATACAGAAGCTAATGGGGATCTTAATAAACAAACAAACAAACAAACAAACAAACACAGTAGGCCTGTATGTCACTTATTGGAAAAAAGTAAATTGTCTAATAGAACAATGACATAGTGCCTGGGACAAGAAAACACACAAAAAAATAAACAAAAATAAAACAAAAAAAGCCAAAGAAATATTAAAATAATCCAGAATACAGACAGAATTTATACAAAAGTTCCCTAAACAGGAAACAATCTGCTCAGCATTCATCCAGATCTCAAACTTCCTGCGGTCCCTGTTTGAGTTCACTGTACACTTTTAAATATAACACATATAATATCCATAAAACAAATCACTTATCCGCTTTATTAAAGGATGTTTTTTTAAAAAAAGAACAAAGGTTTTGGGAAGCAGTGAGCTACAGGAACTGACAGCGCTGCTCCTCTTCCTCCTCCTCCTCCTCTTCCTCCTCCTCCCAACCTGGGAAGCGGCTCTTCCTCCAGAGGACTCCCCGGCTAACGACAGGAGCTAGCCCCGACTGCCGAGGCTGGGCGGCAGAGGCGACAGGCAGCGACCCGACTCACGGACCTCTTTCACGGTCAGAAAACACCGAGAGAACACCACCGAACTCGGACGGAACCGAAGGGAATATACTCTTTTTTTTTTTTATGTTGTGTTATTTGTTGGGCTTTCTCCTAACCCTCCCTCCCCCCCCGCCCGGACCAGCTGCTCGGTACCGTTTCGGTGTCGGCTGGAAGTTTCGGAGCCGAGCAGCGATGTGGTGACGCGACTCGACGGGAAGCTAACTGTTAGCTGCTGCCGCTAACGCTGCTTGGTAGATTAATAATCTGAGCTGGAGGCTCCGGAGAAAGCCTGTTTCTGTGTTTCCGATAATGTCAGACACACTGCTATGAGATGCTGTGTGATGTCGTCTACTTTTAAAGGAGAGAGAAGCGACCTGACGTTATCCTTTAGTTCATGAAACTAGCGAGCGTTAGCTACCTAGCGGGCTAGTAGCTAACGTCGGTTGACTTCAAGCCAAAGAAACTGCTTCCAGTTAGCTGCAGCTAGCCGGGCTACCACCGCTTCCACGTCAGCTCACTGTCCCGTCACAGGTCAGTCTGTTGTGAAACCTTACAGTCTTAGTGGTGAACTTTTATCCCGGAGGATGGCCATGTTGTTGTGACTCTTTACTTCCCCAAAAAAAAAGAAAATCCAGATATGCAATCATCGTAGTGGATGCTAGCTTGCTAACGCTGAGTTAGCCGGGCCAGAACTTGGAGCACTGCCCTCTGCTCACTTTAAAGGGTTTTGCTTTGAGGCCTTTAGGAAATTATCCTCTTTTTTTTTTTTTTTCCCCTACCGAGAAGACCCTTTTCACAGCCTTAATGCATCCCAGCCTCTGGAAGGAATTCCTGTGACTGTGGATATTTTGGGAATCTTGACAGGAGCTGACACAAACAGGGAGCAGCTGGATTTCAATAAAACAATAACGGTGGATTATTAAAGTATTTGGATCAACGTTATTCTTCCAAGGTGAGATACAGACACAGGTAGAAGGTATAGGTTTGTGTTCAGATGTTACACTTTATATTTAAAGGTGTGTGACTGCATCATAGTGGAGGACACTGATTAAAACTGTGCTTTAATTATTGGTTTAAGTACATTTTATTCTCCATTACAGATGAATAATGCCACATTTATCTAAAGTTATTAACTGTTAATGTGTGATACTTATATATAATTGTACAAATGGCAGTCACATGAGGTGTTTACCTTTTTTATTCTTCTGTCACGCCAGAGTTTCTTCTCTGTTATAAGATATTTTTACGCATTACTCAACGAATGTATCGTGGTTCATTTTCTTTGTATTGTGATAATCATGAATATCTTCACATGTCCTGACTTGAAGAAGCTGTGGAGCTCATCAGCGTACACTCCTGTATTGATTTCCTGCTTTATTTTGAACACAGGCACCAAGTGGGGAGCCCAAATCTCTCCAAAATCCTAATCCCATCACCCTGGTTCACCCCCCCCAAAATAAATAAACTTAAAACGAATAAAGATTCAAAAATGAAGAACAGGGAGATAAGGTGCTTATCTGAGATGCAATACATAGATGTTTCTAAACAAAATGTTTGTTTTTATGAAGTATATTTTCATGATTATCGTGATAATTTCTTTATCGCAATTATTTTGGTCAAGATAATCGTGACGTGACATTTTCCTATTGTCCCACGTCTGCCTGCACCATCCTGTGGTCCTCAGCCCACGTGGGCTTACAAGAGGCTAAAGCAACATCAGTTCACTCATTCCTTTCACCTTCAGACAACCGGAACAGATCAGGTCCAACAGTCTGTTTCTGATTTTATTTAAATTAATAAATTAAATTAAATTCCTCACAGAGCTCACACGAACGCCGCTCTTCAGGGAAACCTTTATATCTGTCCACCTCAATCGGTAGTGGTGAGGTAGTAGATCTTAACGGAGCACACAGGGACCTCCTTCAATGATCTATTAGATCCAGTTCTGTGTAGTAACATACAGTTTATACCAGATCTCCTCTTTCCATTGAAGTCCACGTGCTTTATTCTCCATTACAAGAACCGCAGTTGTAGAACGTCAAACTTATCTTAAGTTAATGTTTGATTAGGTTGATACTCGCACATGTCGTCACACAATTAACGGCCACAAGTGGTGTTTCCATCAGCCTTCTGTCATTCTCCGTTCTCCCTCCATCATCTTTATCTGATGTGAATACTCCAGAATAAGTGGTTTTAGTGGTTTTAGTGGTTTTAGAGGTCTATGTAAGTGCCCTGACTCCAGATCATGGTTTGTCATCTTTACCTTTTGACGTATGGGGACGTCTGCGCTACCCGCCATCTGTCACTCCCTCTCATGGATGCTGAGTGACCCTCCCTCCCCCCCCTCATAAACATTGTTGAGCCTGAGTGGCTTGACCTGGATATGGAGCATTGGTTTTTGTATTTTGCTTCTGAAAAATTAGGTTAAGTTTGTCTCCTTTCCACCAGAAATAGTGTTTATCAATCTGACGTTACTGGAGTTAATTATGGATGACAGGTTGATGAGTGTCCAGCTGATTTCCCTTTCACAGGTATGGTCCAGCTCTTGAACACAGTAGTTGGAAGATACAGTTTGAGTGTCGGTGCACTGAACCGAACACTGGTTTCTGAAAAGCAAATGGCTTTTGGCATCTCAGGCAATGCAAAGAATAAGATGAAGGGGGTTAGTTCTGGTTGCCACTAAGTTCCTCCTGGGTTTGTTCCAATTTGTAAATTGTTGTTCCTTGTAGGTATGTTAAATCCAGCTCACATGATTCTTGGCTTTTTGTCTAACAGGCTGTCTACAGGACCTAAGCTCCTCGGTGTGGAGAGTGCTTCTAATTCCCCAGACCTTCCTGCCCAGCTGTTGTTAGATGCGACATTATACTACACTTTTTTTTTTAGTTGCCTCTGATTGAGTTAAGGTCCTTAAATCACAGTGTCTTTGTCAGTTAACTGTGACTGTTTACTCCGTGCATGTATATTCCAGCAGCAGTTAATCATTAGTAACAATCAGTAAGCTGCTGTAGTAGCTGATGCTTTGGTGTCTGAGTTCACTGATTAAATCACCTCGGAGGTACACTTTTAGACTTTCCTACTGTCTTTAGTTTGATCTCTAATCTCTCAAGAGGGGGTCTTTTTTTTAGAACATGAACTATATGAATTTAAAAGCCGAATGTTACAACACTTAAATTTACGATTAATCCCCAAAGTTTCGTACTGCCTGTGGAGCTATATTTATGGATCATTTTGAGGCCTTCGCCCACAATTTCTGTCCACAAAGTTATTTCCTTTTCTCCATCATTTAACACTTTTCTGTTGTATATTGGCATTGTCTTTGAGGAGAATGAATGAAAACCTGTGTCTAAGTTCTGGCTATGGTAGGGAATCCCAACTAACACAAACTGAACTCTCCTTGGACAGGAGTAATGTTTTCGAGTCAGATTAATTTGTTTTGTGTCTTCTGTATTAGTTTATTGAACATATATTTCAGGAGATGATGGTGACAAAAGGCCGTCTTTCACAGCAGAGACACGTCGGTGTAATCAATAACATTAATCGGACTGCGTTCCATTTAGATTGTCCAGTTCCAGTTCCCACCTATTCTGCATGCTGGCTCACTGGAATGACTCATGCAGAGTTCACATTACGGGATTTTAGCCCAGATTTTCCACTCGGCAACTATTTTGGGAGATCGCCGACAAATGCCCCCAGATCTGAGGCAGTTCGGCGCAGTATGGCGTCGTGTGAACGGTTCAACAACAACGACTGTCGGCTCGACAACAGCAGAAATCACAAATAATGGCCTTTTAGTTTGTGTCTTTTCTGATCATGTTAGGAATTTTTAATATGCTAACGCTTTACTGGGATACTTAATGGAACTGAGCCGCTGTTAATTCCTGTTCTTGTGCTTTTACTCCTATAATGAGTCAGAAAGTGCTTTAAAAAAGATCTATGCAGTTCAGATGTCTTAATACTGAAATGTTCACCAGATGTCTGTGAGAACTATTTCCTTATCTCCTTTTGCCCTCATAATTCTGATCTCCCGTCTAACTGCAAACTGTTTGTTCTCCTGTCGCCTCCTTTTGGCCCCGCTCCTGCCATCTGGTTGTAGATGATGTGCGAGGTGATGCCCACCATCAGCGAGTCTGAAGGGGGAGGCGGCGGCGGTCGTCGGGGCTCCGGCTCCCCGCTGCAGTCGGACTCGGAGGGCCACTTTGAGTCGCTGATGGTGTCCATGCTGGAGGAGAGGGATCGTCTTCTCGACACTCTGAGAGAGACTCAGGAGAATCTGGGCTTGACTCAGGGCAAACTGCATGAAGTTAGCCACGAAAGGGACTCACTGCAGAGACAACTTAACACTGCTCTGCCACAGGTAAGTGAGACAGAAATGGATGATATGATGATGGATGGTTTGTCAGCTGTAGCAGCCGCCCCCAGATTAAGCTGTCCACTACAGAGTTAAAATACCTGCCAACTCTCACCCAAAGGTCACATTTTAAAGCAAGGGTTATATTTCAGAAGTGTTTTTTGTTTGTGTTTGTCAAAGAGTGGCACACATGCACACGGGCCGGTTGGAACATTTTAACATATCAACCCCGGTGTGCATTGAAACATATTTCTGCCATGCACAGCACCATTCCTGCATGACTCCTTGCTGTGTGGTCAGCCAAAGTGTCAGTCTCACTTTTGGATGACAGCTCTTACAGATCTTTGGCTCCCGCAGTAGAGAAAGTGATACCAGAGTCTGGTATGGTTTGTGGAGTTGTATGGCCGACTGATTGCAAAATGCAGTGGGGTGTGCACAGAGGCAGATTAGGCCCCTCCGTGGTCTGCTATAAGCCATTTTACCATTCAGTGAACATTTAAACAAGCGCAGTAGCATCCAATAAATAACTTAATGACCGACCACAGTCGTCTTCAGAGTGGGCACATTTGCTTCTTGTTTTTTTGCTTCAGACAAAGACGAGGAGCAAAAACAGATAGCTTTATTTCTTTCCCTCCAAATGGAGCAACTGTGTAATGTTATTAGGTTTACTTTGCATATAATTTAAATGCAATAATCCCCTTACAGTAATTAGGTTGTCACAGTAGTGCCTCTGTTTTTACTGTCTGCATAACATAATGTGGAGGCAACAGTGATCCCGACTTTGTCCATCTGCTTGCAGGTCCCTGTTATATTAATGACTCTGTGGTCTTATATTTAAAACAAAGGGATCAGGTTCCCAGTTTTTAATGATGCATAAGAGGCTGGTTACCGGTTATGTGTTGTTGTAGTTTTAGTTGAACATGCATCCAGTGTATGAAGTTATGGTGCTGGTTATTTTCAGGGGTTTGTTTCACGTTTTATTAAATGTGTGAGGGAACCGTGAGACGATCACAGCTCAGAATATGACAGATTGCAGATCACCGTGCTGAAAGCAGAGAGGTCTGTACATGGTGAGGGACCACTGCAAATGGAAAGCAGAGCAGATTACACAGTGCTGATAGAACTGATAGAATCACAACCTTCCTAACATCAGATGGTAAGAACTGATGTTAAACACACGTGTGGGATGCCAAGGACTGTCTCTGCAGCTCCGTGTCGTACAGCCAGAAAAACATCATCCAAAGTCTAAACAGTCAGACACTGTTAGGACTCGGACTCTGGTTCAGTTAACACTTAATGCAGTGCCGAATAAATATATGTAAATTGTTGTTTATGGATGTTGAATTGATGGCAGCGTTGGAGGTGAGCTACTTGTTCTTTACATGATACGTGAAGTCAGAAGCTACCAGTTAACAATTAATATAATGATAATAATAATAATGATTATCAATTAACACTGAGGCTACGAGTTACACACACGACTTTATTCTGTCGAACAAACAAAAATGTTTGTTGGAGGAGTTGATCTCCAGTCAGACAAGTCATTAACTGAACCTGGCAAATCAATTCTTGTAAGCTATAGACAATGAATCAAGGATTTATTCAGGCTAAAAGCTAAAGATATTAAAGCTGTAATCCTGTCGACAGAGGGGCATCTACGGGCTTTACACAAGGATGTGCAGTAGCCAGCGACGGGGGTCTGGGGGCGTGATGTAAAAACCCAAATTTGGAGGCTTTCTATTGCCACTATCTTAATTATTGCATATTTTAATTGCTTACCAAATGTAAACATGTCTTCTACTGGCTATTAATGTTGAAAATCCTGCCTATTCCTGATCAGAACTTTTGTAATTAAAAATAATTTTATTTATTTATTGACATTCCACTATGAAGGTTAATGTTTTGTTCTACTAGAAACATAAATGCAGTCTTATTCAATTAAAATAAAGAGGTTATTTTCAGGGCGAACATATTTTAATCCCATTTCTTATCTAGCCTACATATTCTTTTTACATTAAAGTCTTTATAAAATAATGCAGTGAAAAAGCATAATGTAAATAAAGATAGTTCATGAATTAATTCATTCATAAAGCCCATAAATGTCTCTGTGGCATATATGGAAAATGCAGCACTTTCAGTGGACTTAATGCTTACTGTGCAGTCATCACGGTGCTGCCGCCGGTGTTCTCCAAAGTAGCCGGTTTAATATGGATGTCCCTGTCTTTAAAATTACAATCGGTGTCATTTTTAATGTATTTTCTCATCAGTTATTTTGCCAATATTTGTCAAACACTGACAATGTTTCCTACCTTTTTGTTAGGGTTTGAAATCTTAGTCTTGAAGCCAGAATAATAGGCTAATCCACTTCTGTCCTCTACTCTATATGTTCATCTTCTCTTCTTTTTGTTGATCTTAGAAGTATCCGAGGCCTTTAGTCAGACTAAAGTTCATATATATATGCATCGCTGCGTGTGTCTGTATTTGTGCATGCACGCTGCTGTGGTGTGGTCAGCTGATCATCTGGCCGTCTGCCAACCCTCCTGGGATTTGTATCTGGAAGGCAAAAAAAAAATCCAGCTGTTAAAAAAGTAGAAGCACTTTACAAGCTGTAATCTGGTGTTAATACACCAAGTAACACTTTTATTGTCCAATCCAAAACTCCTTTAAGGGTGTCGTCACTTGATATTAATCAATTTGTAGAAATTATTATGTAAGAGAGGAATTTGATAACCTCATTCACATTCAAGATGATATAAATTTGTAGACTTAATTTAATAGTGTATTGAAGACAAAATGGTGGTAGTAACAGCACTTTTCAAGAAGTATTTTCAATTAAACATAATTGGAAAATGTATAAACCAAAGTTGAATATCAAACCACAAGACAATCAGCCTGATGACTGCACTGAGATACAATCCTAAAAACCTTAAGAGAAGGTGTGATTGGTGCCATCTTGTACTGCTGCGTTGGAGAGAGTACAGGTCTTCAGGCTGGAGTAGGTAGGCAAAGGGGAGGTGCAGTTTTCTCCCTCGTTCCCTCCCTCCTGGTGAGAGTACCCTTCGACAGGAATGCACAAACATTCCTGGGCAGCTTGCTCACACGTCAACAGCTTCTTCAAACTCCAACGGTGCCCTGCTGGATGCTGCTTATTTGTTCTTTTTTGTTTTCTTTTCTTTTTGGTGTATGTGTTTCTGTGTGCAGGCCAAATTGGTCCGACACTCCCACAACCAATGTAATCTTGTGGATAGCTCATTGACTCCCAGGTTTAAATGTGTGCACAGATAGATTTAATCCAATTTTAGGGCCCACATGTTGCGGTGAAGTCAGTTTCTGTGCTTCTGTGTCAGCCAAGGCTTGTAATAGTTTCGCTTGAAGTGGGCTTCACTGGGTGTGTGTTTGTGTCTGCTGGCAGTGAATTTCCAGCTGTTTTCTACAACTACTGTAAAGATTGTTGAGGCAGTAAAAGACAAAGAAGTGGTAGTAGTTAGCGACGTGCATAGTGTAGCTTCATTCATGTCTTTTCCACACACACTGTCTAGTAAAACTCAACTGCTGTCCTCCCCTAACTCCTCACTTTGTAGAAAGAGAAAATGTGAAGACCACAGGGCATCATCAGACGCACCAAAGTTTCTCATTTGTCAGTTTAGTAGTCCAATTCAGTGCGAGTTCAGTGGAAGAACTGGTTTGTGCAGAGGGATCAGCATTGAAGATTTGTCGTGTCAATGACGTTTCCACATGTCTCTCATGTAAAAACATTTTATTTTTATCCAACATGTAAATTTAATGGAAAGTTAAATTCAGATTAGTGAGACAGAACAGCTACCACCCCTAACTGATATCATTGATTACCTTTAGTTATTTGATGTGATGTGTCTAATTCCTGAATCCAACCAGTGTGAGAATGATACATAGTTTCAGTTTTCCAACTGGTCTTGTTTGTGTTCACAAAGGCCAGAAATTGTAAACTAAAGTAATTTAGTGGAGATGCTGTTGGATTATTGGTCATACAGTTGGCGAGTAAAAAGACAACAAATCGCTGCCTCTGTATCGCACATCTGGAGCACATATCAGCAGACTTTAGAGGGCTGCGCTTATGTGCATCTCGTAAGACAGCAGGTATGAAATATTTTAATAATGCAGACATTTTAAGGAAGTCTTGCCACAGAAGACAGATACTAATTCACCAGTCACCAAAACGGGAAGAGAAAACACTTACCATGGTGTGCTTCATGTGATTGGTTCAAATGGTGTACACACCAGAAAGGAACCAGTCTAGGGTTCACTGGACAGCGGTCTAAGATCACCAGAGTTTGATCAGAGTTTGAGTCCGACGGCTGGTGTGAACCCTTCATAAGATAATGGGACGTCCTGTGGCGGCGACTGCATAGTCTGACTTGTCTTTCTGTATAGAATTTTCTACCTGACATTCTGCTTAATGTACATCAGTCCAATAACTTCCTGTAAATAAGGGATGTCATGTCCTAGAGACTACTGTTTGAAAAAGGTTCATGTTTATTACTAAAAGGGTCTTCACGGTTGTTAAGACCATAAATCACACTGCCATGCAAAAAGGCAAGGGCCTGTTGCTTCAGGTATCAGTGAGGTGATAAAGTACAGTCGACAGAGGTTAGTTTGAGTAATGTGTGGCTGCTTGTCTCGGTCAAGGCTCCTGTTCTGGTCCCACATTGGTGGATTGAAGTCACATCACTGCCTATCATACACTGCTGGCTGAAAATCCAGCATTACAGACTCCAGTAACAGTGCCAGCAAACTAACCCAATTTCTTAAACAAGGAAAAAATCCTTGTTTATTTTGGAGGGATGCACTCCCAGTATTTCACGTCTAGCTCTTGTGGAGTTTGAATGTACTTATTGTAAGTTGATTTGGATAAAAGCAAATTAACCAAATGAATGTTATCTGTATGTAAACATCCATGAGTTTTAGGGCTTATCAGATACCAAAACACTGGTCTATAGACACAATTTTACAACTTTGTTAAGTAATTT